GTTTCAAAAGTACCGGTTTGGCACCGGTATCGGATAAAACCTAAACGATACCCATCCCTACTTATAACTGCTGAAAGCAGATCTGTGATCTGAACTAAAGCTGTGCTTGCGGGACACGGAAATTGTAAGATTGTCTTTCAGTTGTTACTGCGGGAACAAAAACCATTACAGAAGCAAGAAAAACAATGTGTTGTAGAAAAATCAGTATTGCTGTCATTATATAGTGTTTGTGGATTGACCAGATATTGTAAAAGTGACTATTCTTTAAGAGTCGTGAGTTGCATTTTGGGTAAGTTAACAGGGAACAGTGTATTTTTTACACGTATCAGCTCACACGTTATTATTGTTTTGCATCTAATCTCTTCATCCTTTGCTTTAGATGGGCTTCTTTAAAAGATCAGACCCATACGGTACGACCATGGAAAAGGCCAAACTCAAACCCCAGGCGTCCTCTGAAGCTTAGATCTGAACGGAGCCTCCACCTGCAGCTGTTCCAAAGAACTGGAAGTATTGTCGCATTCCCAAACAAATAATGGAAATTCCTAATTATAAGCAGGCCACCCATTCACGAAGGGACAGTTATGGGTGCTGTATCACTGGAAGATAAAAATGTCTGGTGCTGCACTAAAACATTACAGGGGTCACGCAGTTGGATATGCACTGCTGTTTGTTGGACATTCCTCTGTGCAGTCAGAGACTTTTCTAGAAGCTCATCCTGTCATATTATACTCCTGCATTGACAATAAAGAAACAAATGGACATCCAACAAAAGGCACTAAAACGTCAGTAGTTCATGAATGCAAAAAAAGTGTGATTCAAGCCATGTTTGTAAGCTTGGTGTTGACGATTTTGAAAATTCCTGCTTATGAATGATGCCTAAACCACTTGTTATTTATGGCACAATGATTTCCTATTGATTGTTGAATGTTGTACTGTACTGTCTGCAGGAAAAAAAAATCAAAAAAGCAACGTGCCAAATCTGCAATGTTTAACTTGAATTTTTCTCTCCCATATTGGGAGGTACTTTGTGTATGATGTAATGTATTCATTGTGTTATATTGATGTTGTGGCGCAGAATAAAGCCTAATTTTGTATACCCACACAAGAAGCTATGATTACATAGCATAACATAACAGTTAGCACTGTTGTAGGAGCGGCCTGCTCGAGGAAGGAGATTTTGCAGTGGAGTAGGAACATCAGCAACATCACCTCGCTCAACTTCTTCTGCAGGAACCTGCTCACCAAACTAAACCCCTTTCACCCAACTTAATCCCCAAGAGCTCCTTCAGCTATTTTTCTTTTCTTTCTTTCTTTATTTTTGCATTTAGGGGCACTGGCACATGGAAAAAAATGCTATATGTAATAGGTCATTCTTCTGACGTCTATTCACCTTTTCTTTAGTTGGACTGAACATGAAGTCCTCCAACTTAAACTCCATTTTTGACACCACCACACACAAGAAAAAGCTACTAACCAGAAAAGCAAAAGCAACGCAATATAAGCAACTTATCCAACGCAATATAAGCAAC